TTTTAACAAATCCATTATACCCTGATTTCCCATTTTCAATGGGTTCAGGGTATAATTATAACGTGGATATTCATACATTAGCCTAAGCACAATTCTGTAGTATTTGAAATACGATTTTACAAACGTGAGGGTGATGCGTGGATATAGAGGTGGGGCGTAAATTTTTAACAAAAATCGAGATTGTATAAAATATTGTATTAATATATGTTTTAAATTTGCAGACTATAGTTTGTAGGAGATATAGGTTTATAACTGATCTTCGGTACGGGTTTATTCGAAAAAAAAATTACTAAACGAGTTGTCGATTTTTAAGGATAAACTCGATATATACGGAAATTCCGCACAATATATACGGACATTCGAAGGACAAGATATAAGATGTAAAAGCTAGAGACTTGACATTTTTTCCTAGGTCCGTGTATATCACGCGTATATCGATTTTTCTTTTATTTTTTTTATTAATTTTTAATAAATATAAGTGTTATGATTTGATATAAAAATTATTATTATCTTTAATAATAAATTTTTTAATTTGTATCATATAAATTATTTATAATAATTTTAACAAAAAATTACAATAAAAGTTTATCCTGTTTTTTAATTTGCCGTAAAAAAATATCTTTTATATTTTGTCCTCTCTTTTCTTGGGGGTTCTTTAGAATTTTTTTTAGAATTAATAACGCTTTTTTGCCGTTCTTGGTATATACACTTGATGAATATCCAGTTTTGTAATTTACAGAATTGGGATACCAAGCCCCTTTCGCCCCTGAATTGTAAAAAACGTATTGCTAAGAGCTGCAGCCCAAGGTAGTCGCTGCTAGCTGAGCAGTTAGCAGAGCGCCTGCTTAGCGTGCGTGTGGTTGCATGTGTATTTATGTGTGCATAAAAGAAATACAGAATGATTAGAATATCAGCTCTCAGATTTCAGGGTATCGTCTAGTCGAGTAGTTTCGACTAGAGCACTTGTTTAGGTATGCTTTATAATCTGTAATATCTACCCTTCTCTACTTTTTTTACTTTCCGGTACTTGAATTCTGAATGTATAGCACTATCGGTAATGAAGAGCAGCTCGATTTCTTCGAGCTTCACATTTGTGTTAAGGACTACTGTTTTGCCCGAGACGATCGTCTTGTGGGAGTTGCAGTGATACCATTGAAGGATATATCAGAAAAGGTCTTAGTTTTTTTCCCCAGAATGAAGTTTTTATATTAATACAATCATCTATTTATATAGGGATCCGTTGCGTGTTGGCTACCTTTGCAGCGTCGTATCGAAATGGATGAAACAGGTTGGACCATATTGCGTATATTATCGCAACGAAATAACGATGAAGTAGCCAAAGAATTCGTTAAGCTAAAGTCAGAGATACGTCAGGAACCGACAATGGGAACTTAATGGATCATACTGGAACTGGATAGATCATACCAGACATACGCATGCACTCACTCCTACACACCCACACACACATCTGTGTACAACATGTTATCTATATATATATATATCTGATTTATATATATATATATATATATAAATCAGATATATATAT